CCAACGCAGTGGTGCGGGCCAGAGAGCCCCGTGCCCCAGCTGTTACACAAACTTATAGGGTGAGCATAAGCAGTTGGTAGCTGGCTTAAGCGGATTGGTTACATGTTTGCAAAGCAGTTTTATTGGTACAAACTTTCACGGGCTTTTGTTCAAACTTAGGCATCCGCGGGCTTTCCGCTTTTCCTGGATATGTTCCCTTTGTTCCCTTTTGGGCGCCTGTGGATTGGCTGGCTCCAGGCGGCCTGATGGGGGTGGGGAATCTTACCATTTCAGCGGAAACCGAAACTTAGGTCTGGGCCGCCTGTCACAGGGTTAGCCCTGGCAGCCTCACCGGGTTTATGTCAGAGAGTGTTCCGCCTTTGTTTTCCTCTAAGAGTTTTATAAAAACAGAAACAGAGTGACAGACGTAGAAAACAAACTTTCGGTTACCGGGGGGTGGTGTAAATCGAGAGGCTGGAAGTGACCGCACGCGTGCCATGCACACACGCAAAACAGAGGCCAGCGGGAGCCGGCCGCCCAGCGCCGGGAGACCCTCAACACTCCAGTGGCCTACCGGGGAGCAAAGCTAAAGCAGGGTGGAGACGTGCGTGCGTGTCAGAGAGTCACTCTGCTGACGGACAGAGGAGCCTGGCCGGCCGTGCAGTCCACGGGGTCACAAGAGTCGGACCTGACTTGGTGACTAAACCATGACCATCACATCTGAGACTAATCAACACACTCCGATACTTGTATTGCTGTTGTTGTTCACTTCATAGGTCGCGTCCCACTCTTTGCGGCACCCATGCGCCAGTCCATAATTAATAAGTTAATAATTAGTCTGTAACTAATTAATAAAAATAATTGAAAAAACACTGAATCAATATGCTATGTGCCTGAAACCAGCATAATATTGCATATTCCCTACACTTCAATAAATAAATAAAATGAAGTTAATAAACAAAAGAAAAAAGAGAAAAGAGAAAGCAAGCTTCCCAAACCCAGGGCCAGCATACTTCCCACCACGCTATTTGCCTTGGTCTCTAAAACAACAGTTGACCATCATTCTACTTAGATTTCCTCCCAATTGTTATTCACACCAAAAAAGTGAAAGCATGCACAGAATCTCTCAACCCCTTCTGCTTCGTGTGGGCCATTTGGATTTGCTGAGTGAGAACAATAAACCAGAATTTAACAGGAAGGTCAGGAACAAAATTTAAAGTCACTGGAGTCCTACATTTAAACTTAGTGATGCATGTCAATTATTTCTCAATAAAACTAGAAAACAAGAAAAAATAAAGTCACTGGAGTCTTAATATTGTTACAATTACAGTTAATCAAATTCACAGCCGTTTCTGACAGCTCTGGGGCTTGAGGGGCACTTCATGAAAGAGGTAAAGACATGAAGATAATGGCTGTGTGGGCATTAGTCATATATCTATTTTCCAGTTTTTGTATGAAAGCACCTTTACTTACCTTGTCAGTGAGCAAAGCACCATGTTTTAAAATTCTACGGTCAATTTCCTTTTTAAAAAACTGAAAAGAATCACTCATGTAAAACTGGTGTGTTCCCCCCACCCCATAATACTATCTTTAAAAGTGAAACAAAGAAGCACTTCATTTCCACACATGCCACAGATTTCCTACAGGAGAGATGGGTGTCTATGCCACACCATCTCTGAGCTGATCAAACAGCATAATGTACAGTGCTTCATTTCTTGTGGAAATTGTTTTTTATTTGTATTCAGATAAACTCTGAAATCTAGTCACGGTAAGCTACTTATCACCCTAGTATTTTTATTATCAAGATTCATAAATTACACAGCATTTAGATAAAAAATGCATATCTCAGAGTTACTCCAGCTTTTTATATGCCCCCGAGAGATTAATATTAAATGCATCAGATCTGAAAGAGTTAGGAGGGTGAATCAGCTACAGGAACTCATCAAGGGCTTGGAGGCTTAATGGAGATAATTCTTCCGTTCTAATGCTTTGAACTTTGGTTAATGATTATTACAGATGAAAGAGACTGTGGCTTACCACATTCCCCAAAGATGTACACATTAAATTCCACAGCCAGCAGGCAGGAGTCTGGGAAATAGGGCAAGTTTGTCCTCAAACTCCCTTGGCGTGTTTCCCGTGCAAGGGGCATCTTCCCAGTCCACTCTGGTTCTACATTTGAGTCTGTTCTCATAAACCTTCCCAGTCCTGGCTTTCTCTGCTCCCAGCACCATGCACTGCATCTCCTCCAATAAGAATTCCTTTTCCTAGTTTCAGAGGCCTCAAGACTTTCTGATGAGCTAAATAAAAGAGTGACACACAGACATCCACATCCATTCCCTGTCCTCTGCTGATAATACTCATATCTTCTCAACCGGAGAGTTTTAAGAGCAGCTTCCCTGGTGGTCGAGTGGCTAAGACTCTGCACTCCCAATGCAGGGGCCAGGGTTCAATCCCTGCTCAGGACTAGAGCCCACAGGCCACAATAAAGATCCCGCACGCTACAACCAAGACCTGATAAAATAAAAACAAAACAAATAAAAGTAAAGATCTCTGATATTTAAAAAAAAGTTTAAAAAGTGTCTGCTACGTTAGGCCCTAGTAAGGAGTAGAAGCAGGTGTACCTCCGACTCTAAAATCTCTGCCCTCGGGAACCTTGCTTTTGGTAGCATTGTAGTGAAGACAATAAGAAATAACTAAGCAGTATGTCTGCAGTATGATAAGCGCTAAAAACAAAGGGAGAGGGAGTGGGAGGGTGTCCAAGGACTTCATTTCCAATAACGAGGGCAGGCAAGGGCCTTGCTTAGTGGAGAAACTTGAACACTGACATGAACAAAGTAAGGATGTGATTATGTGGATATTTGCAAGGAGAGCCTTCCAAGCAGAGGGAAGAGGAAACTCAAAAGAAGGGATGTGCTTGGCTATCTTCTGAGAGTGCAGAGCCCAGGGTCCCTGTCGCAGGGCCAAGTGCGCACGTGAAGTTAAACAGGAGGCAGGAAGTCACACGTGTGATGGGTGGACCATTATACCAACCTGACTGAGGGTCCTGAGCCAGAGAATCATGATGCAATGTGAGCGTCTCAAACAGACTCCGAGGGCTGGGGCTTAGGCAGCGTGGTGGCTTGGACCACTGTGGTCTGTTGGTTGATCACTCAGTCATGTCTGACCTTTTGGGACCCCATGGACTCTGTAGCCCGCCAGGCTCCTCTGTCCGTGGGGATTTCCAGGCAAGAGTACTGGAACCGGATGCCATTTCCTCCTCCAGGGGATCTTCTCACCCGAGGGATCAAACCTGCACCTCCCGCACTGCAGGCGGATTCTCCACTGAGCCACCAGGGAAGCCCTGGCCCGCAGCGGCAGACAGTCGTTTAGGAAGCGGAAACAGAAGCAGACCAGAGGACAAGCGTGTGGATGCCCAGCGGGGAGGCAGCGGGGGTGAACTGGGACGCTGCGATGGACACATACACTACTGATAATGCGAACACAATAGATACCAAGCAGAACCGAGTGGGCCGCACAAGAGACTCTGCTCCGCGCTCTGCTGACCTAAACGGGAAGGAAATCCAGGAACAGGGGACGTGTGTACAAGCACAGCTGACTCAGCTTGTACCACAGAAACCAACACGCCATAAACGGAAGCGGAGTCGTCAGTCATGTCCGACTCTCTTCTGCCCCGTGGACTGCAGCCCACCAGGTTTCTCCATCCATGGGGTTCTCCAGGCAAGAATACCAGAGTGCGTTGCCTTTCCCTTCTCCAGGAGATCTTCCCAACCCAGGGATCGAACCTGGGTCTCCCACATTGCGGGCAGAAGCTTTACCCTCTGAGGCACCAGGGAAGATTGGATACTCCAATAAAAATGTTTTAAAAGATACTCCAATAAAATTTTTTTAAAAAACTGGAGTTATAATAGGTGAAAACTGGAAAAAACCTAAGTGTCTGTCAACAATAAAATGGGAGGCTTCCCTGGTGGTGCAGTGTTTAAGGATCCACCATGCAATGCAACAGGTGTGACCCCTGGTAGGGGAAGCTCCCGCGTGGACGAGGCCACACCGACCCGAGACAGCGCTCCAGGGCCTGCAAGCCGCAAACACCGAGCCCCAGAGGCCACGCTCCACGAGAGGAGGAGCCGTAGAATAACAGGCCCACACACAGCGGCGGAGAGGAGCCCCGCTCGCCGCTAGGGAAAGCCTGCAGGCAGCCAGGGACCCACCACAGCCAAGACACAAAACTAAGGAACAAATCTTAAAAAGCAATAGATGCCCATCAGCAGACGAATGGATGAGGAAGCTGTGGTACATATACACCATGGAATATTACTCAGCCATTAAAAAGAATTCATTTGAATCAGTTCTAATGAGATGGATGAAACTGGAGCCCATTATACAGAGCGAAGTAAGCCAGAAAGATAAAGACCATTACAGTATACTAACACATATATATGGAATTTAGAAAGATGGTAACGATAACCCTATATGCAAAACAGAAAAAGAGACTCCGATATATAGAACAGACTTGTGGACTCTGTGGGAGAAGGCGAGGGTGGGATGTTTCAAGAGAACAGCATCGAAACATGTATATTATCAAGGGTGAAACAGATCACCAGCCCAGGTTGGGTGCATGAGACAAGTGCTCGGGCCTGGTGCACTGGGAAGACCCAGAGGGATTGGGTGGAGAGGGAGGTGGGAGGGGGGACCGGGATGGGGAATACATGTAAATCCATGGCTGATTCATTTCAATGTATGACAAAAACCACTGCAATGATGTAAAGTAATTAGCCTCCAACTAATAAAAATAAATGAAAAAAAAAAAAAAAGCAATAGAATGAATAAGCTACAAAGGAAACAAATAACAACAACCGAAAAAGCAAACAACGAGCTAGCAGATATACTTCAGAGATGTTAGGTCCTTGGAAAAGTAACTTCTGTAACGTGGTTAAAAAAGCAAGACAAGTTTTCAGACTCAAAGAACATGAGTTCCCTAGTTATGAACAGACTTCTGGAAAGCTACAATAATTGAGTCTTACCTTATGGTAACACCTAAAATAGGCGGCACGTTCATCGGAAAATTTCTCCAGTCTTTTTGGACCTTTGCTGGACGCTTTCTTGAATACTAACCAACATCGTTGATAAATCTGGAAGGGAATAAAAAGACAGCACTCAGCATCACAGCTGACTCAGATACTACTGGCATTTACATTGAAATGTTTTCTTTTTGATGTTTCCACCTGTAAAATATTCATAAACCATAAAAGTGATGCTGCTTTGGGAAAACAAAGTTTTAAAACCCCAAACTGTTTCCACAATGGGTGTATTATGCCATTCAGAAAATCACTGGAATCAAAAGAAAATAAGTATTTAGAGGCACATATCTTCATTCTTTGACAGCATTTCAGAAAAAGTCCCAGAGATAAAAACCCCAAGTCAGCACAAACAAGACAAGCTTCTATGGCACACGCCCTAATTTCAAATGCCCTTATTTATGGAGATCACAGCCTGATAAACACCAAAGACGTGAAGACCTAGGAAGGGACAGTCCCTGTGTGTTGTGTGACATTCCTCATGCCCGATGGTCAGGAGCTGGGCCAGACAGTGGACTGACTAGTTCCTAAATGACGGTGAACACCGTCCTTCAGACGGTGAACATTCTCCTTCAGAAAATTCAACCCAGAGACTCAAAGATGATTGCCAGGATGGGGTGCAGTCCAAGTTAACACTGTAAAATGTTAAAGGTCATAAAAACATGGAGACAAAAGCGGAAAAGTAATTCAGTGGACACAGGGTGGCCATTTAAACAAACGGTGCTCAAAAAACTGAAAGGGTGTGCTGAGTCGCTCAGTCGTGTCTGACTCTTTGTGACCCCAGGAACTGCAGTCAGCCAGGCTCCTCTGTCCATGGGGATTCTCCAGGGAAGAAAACTGGAGTGGGTTGCCATGCCCTCCTCCAGAGGATCTTCCCAACCCGGGGATGGAACCCAGGTCTCCTGCATTGCAGGCAGATTCTTTACCATCTGAGCCACCAGGAAAGCCAAAAAAACTGAATATCCATTGGGAATTCAAAAAAAAAAAACCTTGACCCAAAACACTCATACAAAATTAACCTAAAATGGGCTGAAATCTTTATAAAATCTTTTATAAATCTTTATATTTAGGGAGGAAAAAGGAAATGTTTGGGAACACGGTCTGAACAAAGAGTTCTTAGATCTCACATTGCTGTTCTTTACTCCCTAAGTTGCGTCTGACTCTTTTGTTACCCCATGGGTTGTAGCCTGCCAGGCTCCTCTATCCATGAAATTTTCCAGGCAAGAATACTGGAGTGGATTGCCATTTCCTCCTCTAAGGAATCTTCCTGACCCAGGAATGGACCCCGGGTCTCCTGCATTGCAAGTGGGTTCTTTACTACTGAGCCACCAGGGAAGCCTTAGACCTCATTCCAAAATGTTAATCCATGAAAGAAAATGTTGCCACGTGTACCTCGTCAGAATTTAAAACTTTGGCTATGTGAAAAATTCTGCTGAGAAAATGAAAAGACAAGCTGGGTGGGTGGGGGGGGGGGGTGATGTGCAAACCATGCACCTGACACAGGATCAGTATCTAGAAAACACAGAGTCCTCAAACGTCAACACTAAAGAGCCACACAACCCATTCACAAAATGGACAACAGACATTTGACCAAAGAGAACACACAGGTGATCAAGAGGCACATGAGAAAATGCTCACCATCATTAAAGCCTTCAGGGAAATGTAAATTAAACCACAGAGAAACACTGTGGACCACACCCACAAACATTAAATCCACAGTGAAACACACACCTATCGGGTTGGCTCAGATGATAATAGTACCACCATATGTTGACAAGGATGCCAATAAACGGGGTCGCTTCCGCACTGCTGCTGGGAAAGTAAAATGTAAGACTCTGAAACAGTTTGGCAATCCCTTAAAGAATTAAGCAAGCAGCATAGGACTTAAGAGTTCTACTCTTTGGAACCTAGGCCAGAGAAATGCAAACTCCCCACACACAAAAAACATGAACAAGAATGTTCACAGCAGCTGGATTTGTACAGTGCAAAACGGTTCACAGCCACCTCTTCTCCACCAGGTAAGCGGGCAGACGATCTGGGGAACAGTGACACTGTACAATACCACTCGGCTATAAACACAGTCTGAATGAGTCTTCAGAGAATAATGCTGCGTGTGAGGGGGAGCGGAGTGGCGCCAAACCCAAAGGTTACATACTGTACGGCCACATTAAGAGCATTCTTGAAATGACAGAAGTATAGAAATGGAATCAGATCAGTGGTCATCAGGGGTGAGGGCTGTGGGACAGGGAGCAGAAGGAGGAGGGGGTGTCTATACGGGTGACGGGTGGGTCCCGGCAGCGCTGAAACTGCCCTGTGTCCTGACTCTATCAATACCATTGTCTTGGTTACGACGCATTGCTGGGGACGCAGTGGTTAAGACTGAGGGCCCAGTGGTTAAGACTCCGCCTCGCAATGCAGGGGACTCGGATTCGATCCGTGGCCGGGGAGCTAAGATCACACAGGTCTGGGGGCGAGGACACCCACCATACTGCACCTACTGAACCCGAGCACCAAACTGGAGAGTCCATTCACGTGCTGCAACTAAGATCCTACTCGGCCAAGTGAATAAATTAAATACATAAACCTAAAAAATACTGCGTTGTTGTTTCAAAGATATTACCACCAGGGAAACTGGTTAAAGAGTACAGGATCTTTGCGTAACACTTCCTACAATCAAAAGTGAATCTACAATTATCTTAAAACAAAACACTTATAAATTTTTAACAGAAAAGTGCAAAGATATTTAACCAAGATCTCAAAAATTACAGCTTAATCTAAAAACAGTTACCTATTTCTTTTGCTATCAAGCTGAAGTCTAATTAACCACTAGACTAAGTAACTTTAGAAAATCAAATGGCAAGAGTCATTGTTAAGAGTTCAAACACAGAATCCTTTTCAGGATAGAGAATCAGCCATGGAAATTAACATGCTGAGGGCTATGGCTGGCAAATAGAAGACTTAGCAATATCACACTGGTGTCTGAATAACAGATGAGATCACTGGCTTCCTTAAAACCTAACCACCAGAAAGAGGACTATAATTACAGTGGGAATGACTGTCACTCTGATTGTTAAAATAAAAGATGTGGAAAATAGGTTTCTCAGCTCCTTTCTTCTGGACACGGCCATGAAAATGTGTTAGAGACAGCATGCTAAGGCATGCAAGAAATATGCATACTATGGGGAAAAAAATTTTCATCAAAGAGGATATTTTATATTTCCAAATTATGCTGTAACTTTTAGACCCAATCTTGAATGCCAGCATATCTACTTTAAAACAAAGTTATTCATTTTCTTCAGGATCAAACCACATTTGTCTGGCTTCTGTCTGCAGTCTGTCACACACAAGCTAAAGATTCCTCAGTTTAAGCAGGCCTGATGACTTCCATCTTCAATTCATCCACATTACTCTTACAGGATTTTTGTTTTTCTTTTGTTCCATTAAGTAGTAAGAGCAAAAGTGCAGTGTTATAATCAAATAACTGCCAAAGTACTACTGTATAAATTCAAATTTATACAAAATAAATAATTTGTAAAAACAAATTTATACTAATTATTGTATTGTACGCTTCTGCTGCTGTCCTATACTCAGTTGTGTCCGACTCTGCGGCCCCGCGGGCTGCAGCCCACCAGGCTCCTCTGTCCATGGGATCCCCAGGCAAGAATACTGGAGTGGGCTGCCATTTCCTGCTCCAGGGATCCTCCTGACCCAGGCACGGAACCCAAGTCTTCTGCACTGCAGGCAGACTCTTTACCACTGAGTCACCTGGGTCTCCAGGCTGTATTATATAAATATTGTTTATAACTGCTGGCTGGAAAGTCACCCTGGAACAGATTAAAACATGCTGGCTCATCAGGAGGTAAGGAAAACTCCAACACTTAGCTTATGAAAAGAAGGAGTTGAGTGATTCTCAAGCACTGGTCCAGCCTCACTCAAGATAATTGTTAATTATGCAGATTCCTAGAGATTAGCCAAGGTCAACTGCATCAGAGTGGGGCCAGACAAATTGGCTGTTTACCACATTCCCCAGGAATTTTGCTTGCTAATTTGCAAACTAAGTCATGAATATTCATAAAGACTTCCAGAAAACCTAGCGCTCCCCAGAGGGACTGCCAAGGAAGACTCCTCCGGTAACTGCTCCGCCCACAGTGAGGGCCTGAGTGTGTGATGTCCGGTGAGGACAGGGGTCTTGGGCATGGAGTGGCGGGAGATGCTGTCCTGAGATTCAGTGACAGTCAAAGTGAGGTCGGCTGAACCACAGCAAACCGGTTTCACCTGCCCTACACTCGGTCTCAAGAACAGAGGAATTACAAACTTGTGCTCCATATTTCAGAACTGGTCAGAGGAGGCCACACAGGAGGACTCCCTGAAGGTGGGAATACGCAGAGACGAGCTGGAGTGACTGACATGCGTCAAGGGACGACAGCTTGAGAATAATCTCCTTTGCTTACTAGCAGAGGGCAGTGTTTTCTTCTTAAATTAATTCATTCAATGAGGTTCTTCATATTTTGTATAACACATCTATGGACCGTCTATAGTATTTTTTAGTTAACATTTTTCTTTCACTGATTTCTTTAACTGAAGCTTTTGTTCTCCCAACTGTGACAGCAAAGTGTAGTTTCATGGGACAAGAAGCGGAGGTAATCCTAATGCTAACGATGCATGCCTGCATGCTAAGTCACATCAGTTGGGTCCCTGTGGACCCCATGGACTGTAACCCACCATACTCCTCTGTCCACAGGATTCTCCAGGCAAGAATACTGGATGGGTTGCCATGCTCTCCTCCAGGGGATCTTCCCAACCCGGGGATCAAACACGAGTCTCTGACGTCTCCTTCACTGGCAGGTGGGTTCTTTACCACTAGTACCATTCTTAAGATAATCTGATGACAGAATAGCTTTATGTTGAAATATCTCACCTGCTATATATTAGGGTTCTGCGTTCTCAGCACAACAGGCATTTTAGACAACATTATTTTTTAGGTGGGGCGGGGGGTGTGCTGTGCTGTGCACTGTGGGGTGTTTTGGAATCTGTTTGGGCTTCAACTGAATGCC